GGTGAGTAGTCTACCTTCGGTGTCTAATCAGCCATCGCAGACTAGTGTGCCATCGCAGTCAGTGTCGCCGGATCCCGAACTTCCGGTTGTGGAGCCCACCGCGCTGCCAACAAGAGACCCACAACCGTCGCAATCCAGCGTTCCGTCGCAGTCTGCTGCACCAACGACACCGGGGGGAGCAGCTACACCCATATCCACTGTAGCGGCAACGCCCGTATCCACTATAGCGGCGACACCCTTATCAACTATAGAGGCCACACCTCTATCCACTGTAGTGGCTACACCCCTAGCTACTGTCACACCTGTGGGACCTGTTGTGCTTGGTCCGCCCGGAGATATCACTGGTACCGTGGTCAGTACAGTGAGTGGACCTATCCCTAACGTGGTGGTAGCCCTCTTTGACAAGGATGGTGAGCTTTTCGATGAGGTGCTAACTAATGATGATGGGGTATATCTATTCGAAGATCTTCCCGTAGGACCATACAAGGTTGTAGTTTCTGAGACTTACTTCGTTGAAGGTGAAGACGGTATGGTCGAGGTTCTGGTGAAGGATCCAGATGGTTTCGTAGACGGACAATTCCAGACCAACGTCATTGCTGACACAGTCACAGATGTCGACGAGTTCGTTTATTCGCCTCCAGGTTCCGTAAGTGGTAGTGTGTACTCTGTCGTGGGAGAACCTTTGAGCCCTGTATCGCTAGTTCTAATCGACACTCAAGGAAGTGTCATACAATCTACGGATACAGTGGCAAATGGTGACTACGTCTTCGAAAATGTCCCTGTTGGTGACTACACCGTGAAGGTCAGTGAAGATGACCTTCCAGATTACTTCCTATTCGACGATGTCGATGATGTCACGGATGGAGTAACACCCGCGATTTTGACCGAAGAAGAACCGAGCAAGGGAGGACTCGATTTTATCTTTGACACGTTAGCCAATAGAACACCCGGAGGAGGAGAAGGTGTCGGTGTTGTAACTCCAGTTGTCACGCAAGGTTTGTCAAGCCTTTTTAAGTCATAGATATAGGATCTAGCTTTGTGATTGCTGTTGAATTGTTATTTATTTCAAGTGCTTACGTTATATATATAATATTCTTTTAATCAACAGGAACCGTTGGCGGTGTCATTGTTGACGAATTCGGAAATGGAGTTGCCGGAGTACCAGTATCGATTCTCAAACCCGATGGTTCGAATGTAACGGCTGTTACTAATAGTATCGGAGAGTTTGTATTCCTTCCCATGCCCCCTGGCAATTACTCCGTGTCTGTACCTACCGAGTATGAGATCAGACCAGGAGTGATTGGCCTTATCGCAGGTGATCCAGATGCCGTCACAGACGGTTATACCGAAGTTACTATCGGTGTGGACGGTACCGTGCCATACTTAGACCGGTACACATACGCTCCCTTGGGCGATGTATCAGGAAGTGTTATCAATACTCTGGGCGAACCTTTAGAAGACGTTGCTGTTCAATTGATGAGCGAAGGAGTTGCTATCTTCGAGACGACTACTAATCAGAATGGTGCATACTCTTTCGCTGATCTACCCGACGGCAGCTACGAAGTTGTTGTTGATACGGAAGCAGTTGAATTCCATCGTTTCGTTGCTGAGGCAAACCCTCAAAGCATAGAGAATGACGGAATGGATGGTCGTATTCCCGTTGCTATGGTGGGTGGCCAGGCTGTCGGCGGAGCTGACTTTGCTTATCAGAAAGGAGGCAGCATATCTGGTGTCTTGTCGAGTGTGGAGTCCGGAGCTGGACTAGGAGGTATCGTTGCATACCTTTACGATTCCAATGGTAACGTTGTTGGTTCGGGTGTCACCAACGCAAATGGTTTCTATCTCTTGGAAGGTGCTAGCACTGCCGGAAATTACTGTATCAAGGTTGAAGAAGACATTGATGCACCCTGTGTGGCCGAGGCCACTGTCGAAGAGGACGGCGGTGCTATGCAAGTCGGCGTTGTTGCACTTGTAACTGACGGAGTCGCGTTCACTGGAGTGAACGGACAAGTTATGTTCGGACAAGGTGGTGTTGTCGTCGGAAATGAATCCAATAGTGGAGGAAGTGGGTCTGTTCTGTCTGGTGTCAATATTCAATCCACCGTATTGGCTCAGCTGCCACACCCAGGATCTAATGTCACTTCCGTTGAGATCGAGATGGTCATTCCTGATGGTTACTCTGTTATTGAGGGCGTGAGTGGTACTACAACCAGCGGCGTGTCCGGCACCGTGCTTTCCACTGGTAAGATTCAAGCATCATATGCGATTGTCATTCAATTTCTTCTTTTAAATACTCTTTGCTCGTGTATCCCGCAATATAGAAGATGAAATTCTTTTTTGTTCTAATTTACATGTATTATATGATTTCACAGCTCTCGGATCGGTTACTGGCTATATCACGGACGGATTAACCGGCGCTGGTGTTGCTGGTGTGTCGGTGTCTATCACCAACGCGGAAGGTAATGTGATCTCAGTCGTCACCGATTCGAATGGTCAATACATTTTCGATAACCTCGACCAAGGTATTTACCAGGTTACAATTCCAGAGGTTATTGATGGTAACGTCGTATCCACTGGTTCAGCCGTCACCGCTGTGGAAGTCACTAATGGACAGGTCAGCTTAATGGGAGGTGTAGAATTCGGACCTCCAGGAAGTGGTTCTGGACGCCTTTATCTGCTTACCAACGAAGTTGCTCTAGGCGATGTACCGGTTGTACTTCTTGATGGTACTTCAGGTGTGCAGTTGAGAGAGACCACCACTAACAGTGATGGCTACTATGTGTTCCCTGACCTTACTACTGGTAGCTACATCGTTAAGGTGCCCTTGGAAGCCGGTACTCCGCTTTTCAAGGAAGAGAGAGCTGACAACGCTGTCGATGGACAGTCCGCTTTCTCGCTCGAAACCAACACAGATTCTGTCTCGTCGATCGATTTCATGTACTTTGATCCTAGCCTACCATACACTGGAGGTGCTTTGATAGGGTACGTTTCTATGGCGAATACTGTCGGCGGTCTTTCCGGTATGGTTATCACCGTAACAAGGGAGGCTGATGGCATGCAGTTCTCTACTGTAACCAACTCTGACGGCCAATACAAATTCGAATACTTAGAGGCCGGTGTCTACACAATGGAAGCACCTACTCAGATCACGCTACCTAACGGTGAGCAGATCACACTCACTCAGGATCCTGATCAGATTCTTGACGGCCAACACACCGTTGAGATTACTAGTGGAGATATGGAGGTGGAAGGGTACTGGGCGTATTCTAACAGTGAGTTCGTGCAGGATGTCGGTGGAGGTATGCCTGAGAATTGGTATGTCTGCTCTCCTCAGTGTGGCGAAGTACCTGACGGCGATGTTTGTATCCAGAAGATCTGCTTAGATGTGGAAGGTTGTGATATCACTGGTACATACACCATTGAAGACATTCCACTCATGTGTACCAGACCCTCTGGGGAGTGTCCCTCGGATAGTGCTATGACTAATGCCGTAGTATCACTACAAACTGAGAATGACCTGTGCGATGCTTCCTTCGAAAACGAGAACTTGTTCAATGCCAGGATGCAACAGTACACGGACGGATCTTACTTGGTCGAGAAACCAGACTTCCAAGTGACCTTCGGACTCCTTTCGTACTGGGAAGTACAGCTTTCAGCTGCGGAAGGAGGTCTTCTTCTTGAAGATGCAGAAATCTTCAGTTTTGAGCGTGCCGTCGGTGTAGGTGGCGACTGTACTGGTATTCTATTCAACAACAATCTTGATGGGCTCAAGCAGGCATTCAGCTCAAAGCCTGATAAACAAACACTCCGTCTCGTTGTCCCGGTATCATTCGCCCTAGTCTGTCCTACTGCAGGCAGTGAACAAGCGGATGTCGAAATCGTAATGGGCACAAAGCTGTCGTACATCGGCACCGGTGGCCGTCGTCGTAGTGCCATCATGCACTCCGTTGTGCGCCGTGAAGTTGCCAACAAGAACGTTCCCTTCACAATCGATGTCGATATCAACCCAAGTGACGTGAACGACGCAGCCGCCAATGTGAATGGACCGGGTGAGAAGACCATCACGATTACGGAAGAATCTAATGATTCGCTGATTATCATCGCGGCCGCCATCGGCGCACTACTATTGTGCTGCTGCTGCTGCTTGCTATTCGCGCTTCTGTTCTTGTACGCCCGCCGAAGAAAGCAGAAAGAGGATCAGAATCGAATCATGGTTCGCCCCGAGTACAATACATCAGGCGCTACTATGTATAGTGCGTCCATGGCACCTTCCTATGATGGCATGACGAGCCAGATTTCCAGTGGATGGTTGAGTGGCAATCAGAGCCAATACAACACCTCGCAGATGAGTGGTGACACATTCAATACTGGAAGCAGAACTGATCACTTCAGTGGCGCTTACAACATGTCGCAAACCAGCCAAGGATTGGATGGATACAGCGGCAACGAAAGCAATGCAGGCATGTACGTTGCCGAGCAGCAATACCACAACGACGGTCAGTCGCAAATCTACCATGATGATAATGCTAGCGGTGTGGATGTAGATTCAGCCAATCAGCCGTATTATTATGGTAATGCGGATGACCAAGGACAATACTACCAGGGTGGAGAGTATCAGGAAGGAGGAGAGTACTACGAAGGTGAGGAACATATTGACGGCAGCTATCCTGAAGAAGGAGCCGAGTACTACCAGGGAGAGAACGGAGAACAACAGTACTATCAAGATGACGGTTCCATGGGACAAGAAGGTCAATACTACGAAGACTACCCAGCCGACGATCAACACAGCCAAACTGGCTCACAGGATCAACAACACGAGAACGGTGCCCAGCCCCTAGAAGATCCCCGTATTGCCTCAAATAGATACAGTTCTTACGGCAACACGGACGATTTCTCGTCGGTGTAAGCATAAGCCTAAATCGCACATCGATATCGATGTAACTTAGAAGACGTCCACGAATTCAGACATTAATTCTTTAGAGGGATGAGTGAATAAGCGTCGATAAATAAATAAAATTAACAATAATATAATTGATTTATTCGTAAGTTTGCAATCAATCAGCATATGTTCTATTCAGGATAAAAATCGCATATGTTCTATTCAGGATAAAATCACCAGTTATATTACTATATTCCAGCAAATTGACGCTGATTCATGCCAATGGATTGATTCCAGGAATTGTTTAATAACTCCTTCTACTTGCCTCAAACCTGAGGTATATATATATTGAAAATATATTTAATTATATCTATTTACCTGTTTATTCATTCATTTATTTATCAATATATATATAT